TTCGAACAACCCTACTCCTATTAGGATTTTGAACTCACCCCCTTTTGGGGCTTTATTCATTGTTGGTCGAGAATCCTAATTGCACCAGGACTTCATCGACTCTCTTTGCTTATTTGAACTACTCTTTCTTGCGATAGGACTCGACCATCCCTGCTAAATGGCCCGGAATCATCAGGCAGCCTGTATTTTTGACACGGCTTTGGGCCGAGCCCAAACCTACACTCGGCCTAACAATATTATTTTGGGCTCAAACACCATTGTATGCATCCATGAAGCTAAGCTTTTCGTGGCCCGATGTGGCATCGACGAGTTGGTCAATCCATGGGAGTGGGAAATTATCTTTGGGACAAGCCTTGTTCAAATCAATAAAGTCCACACAGACTCATCATTTTCCTTTTTTTTTTTTTTTTTTACTAGCACCATATTGGCCAGCCATTTCAGATGATATACCTCTACTACGAACTCCACATCGATAAGCTTGTCAACTTCTGGATTGAGAATTATATACTCGGTATCTCACCCATCTTAGACTCCGGCGTACAGTCATTTTAGGGGTCAATGTCAATGTTAAATTCCTTGATGTTTCAAAACAGACCCCCAGATTTTGATTACTATGTGAGGTTGGTGGTAGGAGTGGGCATCTCCGTCTGATTGATCTTGCGAATGTGGTTAAAACTTCGAAGCAGCACAAGAATGAGCCCTGGCCTGGACTCCCTTAATCCCTTTCACTCCGGTCAGAATAGGATATCGAATTACCTGATGGTGGGTGAAGGGGACAACCTTCATAATGTGTATCCAGTTTTGTTATAGGATTACGTTATGCGGGGACAAAGCGTCGAGAACATACAAGTTGATCATAGAACTGTAAGGATCAGCGTTGACCAACAGTTTAAGGGTTCCCAATGTTTGGACAAGTGTTCCTTCAAATGCCATCAGGATTGATCGAGTCTTTGTGATGTTGTCGAGTAATCCCATATGCTCCATGGTATCCTTGAAAAGCAAATTGACTTCGGCTTCGCCATTAACTAAAATGCAACTTGTCTTCACATGGGCGATCTGCAAAGTTACGACGAGTGCACACTCGTTCCAAGTCTCAATCTGAAAACATTATTATGTTGCCATCAAAGCGGAGTGACTTGTTGATGGAGGCCACCATCTTTGGCTTCTTACTGGCAATCTTTTGCTCATTCTGCCAAGTCCCCATGTATACCTGGGCCCCATAAATGCAACTGGTGTGGAGTGTAGGCCTCTTTACACGTATTTCCTCTCCGTCATTTTTATTCATTGGAGCCGTTCCTCGAGCATTACCATATCTGCCTTCCTTTGCCTTCTCAACTACAAACTATTAGCAATGACCGCGATTAAGCAAATCCTTAATGAACTCTTTGAGGTTTCTGCAGTTCCTCGTCGTGTGGCCGTAGGCTTTGTGATAGTTGCAATACTCCTTAGAGTTTGGGTTTGGGTTCACCATTGGGCGTGGCTTCTTGAAGAACGGTTTATCTTTAATCTTGTTCAAGACATTGTTGAGGGAAATGTTCAACAGAGTGAAAAAGGACGAATCCTTATAGGGCTCCCTGCACAATTCCATGCAGTTCGAATGCCTTAGGTACCCGTTTTTGCCTTTGCTACGCTCATACCGAGGCTCATTCACTTTCTTATCTGACGACCGCGGTACTAAGGAGAGACTAGACTTGGATGGTTTTTCATTCCACTTATACTCTTCATCCCAAGCAACTATTTCTTATGCCTTATCAAAGCATTCCACGAGGGTGATGTATTCGTACTTGGATTTATGATGCTTGCAACTAAGCTCTAACTCGATAGGGAGTCCTTTCTTGAATATGGTGGCGACCATGCAATCGTTAGGTTTGTTTACCTCCTCGTCCTCAGTACGAATTTGCTTTATGTAGTCTCTGAGGCTTTCGTCGTCCCTTTGACGAATCAGGAATTTGGTGTCTCATCTCGCATTTTACCTCCTTATATGCAAAAAAGGCCTTTATGAACTCGTCACTCAAGGTTTTGAAGTCGGTGATCAATCTAGATGGGAGTCCGGCATACCACTTCATGGAATTTTGCTTCAAGCGTGGCAGGGAACATTTGCACATCAAAGAGTCACTATAACTGCACAAAGCCATAACGTTCCAGTATGACATTATGTGGCTCGAAGGGTCAAAGTCCCTTTTGAAGTACCTCATTATTGGCTGTGCGGCTATGTTTTTGTCTGGTGGTGCCTCCCAAGCTAAAATGTTGGAGAGATGATCACTTTCGTAGAACAACTGCGTGTTGCCTTCTAACGGTGCCTTGCTTGGGCCATTGAAGTCTTCAACCGCCTTAGGTTAACATGAGGGACCCTGGTTTGACTCTGAGTGCCTCGAGACTGCATGACTGAGGGCGCCTTCACAAGGGTTTCCCTCGCCTTTGGAGGGGTTTCCATAGACAAAAGTTGAAAATGACATTAAAGTTGGATCCCCCAAGATGTTCAAATACCCAATTCCAGTGACTGAGATTCTAGCAGTGTCGCGATCTAGGGTAGATTCCAGTTACAACAATTGCCTTTCAACATCATGGGCATATGATGCGTGGTTGCATCAAAGGTTCTCTAACTCTAAGCTGATCTTTTCGAGCATGTTTCGAATAGGGTCAAGTAATGTCTGTAGCCGGAGGGAATATGGACACAAGGCATTATGCCGTCAACGTAATAGACGCATGGTTAGCGAGTCATTCCAAGTGCTGAGAAGGGTCATTCCCGACGTGGAGGCTCCAATGCTTAAGTTAGCAATGGTAGAGAGAAAGGTGAAATGTATTTCCCAACAATGAATGTCTTACCTTCGGTGATGAGTCACCAAGTGTATTTATAAGCCCGGCAGAGTTGGTCCACGTCACCTAACATTCCTTTTAGTGGCCAGGAATAAATGAGGATGACGATCAGACCGATCTAACATACGGATGTCACGTCGGAGAATGATCGTTTGTCTCTTCTCCATTGTGGGCGAAATGAGTAGCTACGCATTTGACACTTCATAAGGGTCGGAAGGTATTATGCAATCTAGTCTGTGTAGTCTAGTACCTGGATGGAGACAGTTAGCCAAGTCTGTACTCTAGAGTGAACCAATCCACTCCAGAGGTTGAGTCAATTATATTCAATTATACTGGAAATGAGCGTATATCATATTCATTATAGAATATGGTATTTTGGGTCTTACAACAAGTGTTGGTGATTGAAGTTTGTCGACGTAGATCTTGATTGTCGACTGAAGATTCTCCAACGAAATGTTTTCGATGATCTCAGTGGAGAAGTTCTCACTCTGTAACCCTTAACATGACTCTGGTTCCGGTGTAGGCTCATTGATTCGAAGGTCGGCTAGTTTTCCAAAGACGTCAAGCTCGCAAGTCGTTGCAATTCTCCTAAGATGTCACTGCTGCAGGCGAAAAAATTGTTGATGGCTTGGGAGGGCTGGAGGTACTCCTCGTCAGAGGAGGTGAACTTGGTGGTGGTGTTGCGGGTGCGAAGGGCGAGCTTAATGTGGCGCATGTCGACGATCGAATCGATCAGGTTCTCGAATACAAAAGGCGATCTTTTAGAGGCAAAGATGGTTCAGGTGTGGTTGTCATGGTACATGTTGGAGCGCAAGGTGCACACGGAATGACCGGTTTGGCAATGGATTTTGGTGGAGAAGTGAGAATGAAAGTTGCGGATGTGTGGCGGGAAGTGAGAATAGAAACCATTCTCAAAGCTCAGAGCTTTATAACAAATTTCAAAAATTTTCAAATGTGATTTTGAGTTTTTGGGTAATTTAAATTAGGGTTTTGTATTAGAGTTAGTGTGGAGTAAAGAAGGAATTCATGGTGCGAGGAAATGTGGAATTGGGAGGCAAGGAGAGAGAAAATTGAACATGTTTTGGTATAAATTTTGTATGTTTTGACGGAGATTTGAGTGTTGAATGGAACTAGAATTTCTCGCCTTCTTCCTTATAGAATTCAGTTGCAACAGTGCAACCCATGGGGAGAAAGGAGAGAAAGAGTTTTTTTTTTTTTTTTTTTTTTTAATTGTTAAATAAAAAATTAATTTTTTATTCCAATTGGCGAATGGGTGGGCTCCCGCTCTTGCCACGTTATCATTTAACAATCAAATTAACAAAAAATTTAACGAAGGTATGACATTGCAACGAATTCATAAGTTGAGGTATGTCATTGCAATGTTTAAAACATGAGGTATGAGATTGTGATTCAACCCATAGTTGAGGTAGTTTTGTGTAATTTATCCTTGAAAATAACGAAGAGATCGTAAGACTAGTGAGATAATTGATATATGAACCCCTCATATATGTATTGAATTCACAAAAACAACATACTACAAAATCACGTAAATAAGAGAGTTACAAGGAAATGGCATGCTAGGATTTAACATTCTTACCAGGATGGATCTCCTTGATGACAAATTCATAGCCTAACGCTTGTACCCACTGAAGCCCTAAAAAGATACAAAAAATACAATACTAGATTAATGCAAAAGCAAAGGGTTTTTAACCTAAACACATCTTTATTAGCATCCATAGTTATATCCATCTGTATTGCATATATGCCAGAAAGGTACCAACATTTTTTCAGAGGCATCACCCCCTACAATCCTAGAAGAATTGCTTTTGACATTGCAGACATCGGCCAATGCTCTTCTTATAACATTTGCATTTGCTAAGATAAAAGCAAGTAAAAACTACAAAAAAAGGAACTGATTGAAGATGTGTAACGCAACTAACAAGTAGAGTCTTGTCGAACCTTACCTGTCGAACTACCAAGTATGCCTTTGCGCTTCTCCATACTTTTCAGACCAGCTTTGATAACAAAACAATCTACAAAAAGAAGGCAGTAAATATATAATTAAAACAAAAACTCCTTATCAAAAGAAATAACACTCCATCCAAATCCACCTCCAAAATAAGCAGAGGAATAAGGTCATTAGTTACCATTACTTTGTTAACTGCTGCGTAAGTCCTGAAATTAAAAGGGGCAAACAGATATAATTCCCCCTACAATCCATATGGTTGCCAATAACTAAACCATAACGTTCTAAAACAACTTAGATATTGATTAAAACCATAACATTCGGTAATCGAGATGAAATTACACAAGTTTAGAACCACAATTACCTGCTTCCGCCATCAGCCTTAGCAGTGTCACTTTCTGTATAAACCTTAAAACTTGGGACATAAACTGCTTAAAACAATGGGAAAAGAATGTCAGAAATTAATAAATCACCACCCCAAGAATTTTAAACCAGCAGAAGAACCAAGAATTGCAGTTCCGCACCACTTGCCCGATTCTGTCCTATCCACATTTGGGCTGAAAATTAAGAAAAAAAAGCAGGATTCGCACATGTCAGAATTGCTTTCACCCAAAAGAAACACCAGAGAAAAGAAATCAAAGATAGTTAACCGGGAATCAACAACTGCCACAGAGTGCTCTGTCGATGATCCAATTTCTACAAAGACCGAGACAATTCGTCAAGCATCTGCCCACCGCCTATGTTAGTGGTTCTTGATTGAAGATCCAGATCCTGTAATGCATAGAAAGCATCACCATCACAATAAAGATGAGTTAATAAAGGCTTCCTATAAGCACTTTAATAGGACAGAATCTGAATAGCATACGTCCTAATCTCATCCAAATTTCGGATTTATACACCTTCTGATCAAAACTCAATTTCCAACTCTGGTTTCTTTTCATGATATAGAACCCAATCCGTTCACAATTTCTTCACATTGAACTGAATGAAAGGATTTAGATAACTCACTTCAAGGGGCAGGTTGAAAGTGATGGAAAGGGCTTCCTCATATTCTGCAGCATCCAGGTCTTGAAGGTGCGCTCTTTTGAAAAACTTAGGGAGAAAATACTGCCGCACCAGGACTAGAAGCATGTTCAACAATGGGAAAAGCACCACAGCAATCGGGATCCATGTTAAGCCAAAACACATAAGCAAGTAAGCCATCTGGAACAATGTGAAGGTCACAATTGTTTTGAAAGGCAGAGTCTTAAGAAAGACTCCATGATTCTTCTCCAGCACCCTGGCAAGATGGATGATGGTTACCAGTTGACGAGTTTTTCAAAGATAGTAATAGTCATGATCTAGATCAAGAAAAATGGTACTATTTAAGTATGAGGAAGTTAAATTTTAAGATTTGAAGATTCTAAAACATGTTTACGTGCAGACGTATCTAGAAATTCTGAAGCAAACCTTGTGGTTTAATTTACAATATCCAATATGCGGAAGACTATTTAGTGAAAGAATCGTTGGTACATTACAAGGGAAAGCACCAACCTACTTGTATCTTCGACTTGGAGCAGTGAAAAGAAACAATATCCTCTCCCAAAATTGATTTCCAGGCAAGCTTTCAATCGCCATGAAAGTAAAACAACCCCAAAGAACTGATGTTGGGATTTTTTTCAAAACAGCCATCAATGATTGAAGCAGATTGCTGAGACGTTGCTCTTTTACTTCAATGGGCAGAAGATTGTCAATATCCTTATCCACATCAAAAACAGTCTCATCAACAGGGGCATCAATGTAGCCAGCACTAGAGGCCAATTGGACAGTGTATTCTTTCAGCTCTTTTAGTCCCTGTTTGAATCACAAATTTTAAAGCAGAAGGGTAAAAGATATAAACTTTTGTATCAATCATGAATAATATAGTAGATAAAAGCAGATGGAAGTTGGTAGACTAGTGAAGTCTGCATTCCGTTGTATGCACTTTCGTGCTCTGGTATAATTCACTCAAACTTTATTTTTGCGTATACTACTTCGAGCTGTTGATGCAAGCTTAACCGCAAAAGCTATTCCAAAGAAAAGAACAGATCCACTCCATTAATTTACATGTTAAAATCACAATAAAGTATCCAGTATTGCAGAAACAAACATTCTAAAGGGAAGCAGGAGAATGACCAGAGATGTCCTCTCAGTGAGAATCAATAGTAGCAGCGTGAGAAACAAGTATCAAGCCCACATAACATGACCTGGAAGCAAATAATCAGAATTAAAGGAGAACTTTCAAGATATACGAGTAGGTAAAATCTCTCTCTCAATTTAGCTGGTCCGGAAGCAGCTTACCAGAAAACCCAATCCACTTCCAAAACAATTTACAGAATGAAAGCAGTAAATACATAATTAAAACATAAACTCCTTATCAAAAGATATAACACTCCATCCCAATCCACCTCCAGAAAAAGCAGAGGAATAAGGTCACTAGTTACCATTAAAGCAGCTGTGTTCTCCCGAGTCCATACTTGGTTAACTGCTGCAAGTCCTCAAATTAAAAGGGGCAAACAGACATAATTCCCCCTACAATCTAGATGGTTGCCAATAACTAAACCTTAATGTTCTAAAACAACTTAGATATTGATTAAAACCATAACATTCGGTAATCGAAATGAAATTACACAAGTTTAAAACCCCAATTACCTGCTCCCGGCATCAGCTCTAGCAGTGTCACTCTCTGTATAAACCTTAAAAACTTGGGACATTAACTGCTTAAAAAATGGAAAAACGATGTCAGATATTAATAAACCACCACCACAAGTACTTGAAACCAGCAGAAGAACCAAGAATTGCGGTTCCTGACCACTTGCCCGATTCTGTCCTATGCCAAATTTTGGCTGAAAATGAAGAAAAACAAAGCAGGATTCGCAGATGTCAGAATTGCATTCACCCAAAAGAAACACCAGAGAAAGATCAAAGATTTTTAACTAGGAATCAAAAATCTTAAGGGGTTTTATCTGACCTTAGCAGCCAACATTTTGCTTCGCTTTTCAACTGCCAGAGCGGTCTGTCGATGATCCAATTTCTAGAAATATCGAGACAATTCCAATCAATTCAAGCTAACATTCAAAACAAAGTAACTTCCAGAAAAGGAACGCAGAATTTGTGAAAAGTAAACCCTAATTTTTTCAAAACGACTTCAAATTTGCGCGAACGGTAAAATTCAAATTTCAAAACGCAGCCCTAATTGAATCGATCCTTCGAATAAATTCGATTTATAAAGAATTAAATGGAAACGATAATTTCTTGCATAGATTCGTCGAAGAAAGCGTACCTTCCGCGACGTCATCTGGAGTTGGAGATATCTCTTGTTCTTCTTGGTTTCTGATCTTCGGAGATGAAGAAGAATGAGAATAGTCGACCGTTGCAAAGGTCTTGTCTGATTCTTCCTGTTAAAGCAGCGGCCTTTAATTCTTTCGTTTTTTGAAATATAGATCCAATTTTACGTTTTTAACCCTTTCCTCATTTATTTGGTCAACTACACCCCTTATCAATTTTCAAGCACTATCTTGATTTGTAACATTCTTTTCCAGGTATTATATTGATCAATTTTCAATTTTAAAGACCGTCTTGATGTGGTTGGTCAATTTCATAAAAACCCAAAAAGAATAAGATTGTTTTTTGTGGATTTGGGTTTTCCATACAAGATTTACACAATGTGCATTTGCACCCAAAAAAAGGCAATGTGCATTTGCACCAACAAAGGGAATGCATCCTAAATTGTTTATTAATAATTAAGGTACTAATTAAAATTATAATACCGCTCTATCTCTTCCTTGTGTTTTACCCTCTGCTAACCTCTTACCACACGTTAGGGGTGAGACGTCGGGTGGGTTGGTTAGGTTAGATTTCAACCTGTTGGCCAACCTAGGTTCATGTTAGAATTGTTCAAATCAAATGTCACTCAAGAAAATTATCAACCCAACCCAGCTAAATTATTCTTAGATGGGTTGGGTTAGGCTAGTTTCACGGATTGGGCTTGATTGGTTTCTTTTCTATTCCTATTGTGAGTATGACAGACAAATATCAATACTTACGTCAAATAGGCCTAAATCATGTGATTTTTTTTTTCTTTTTAACAAATGATATTCTCCACACTAAGAGGGAGGGGTGGGCTAGCCTCACAATGAGCTAGCAATAATGTGGTTGAAACGCCTTTGACAAGAATCGAACATAAGATCTCTCACTTAGAAGTGAAGAGGTATCACTAGACCGTACTATTAAGTAGCAATTTGATGTTGTTATGCCACTACATGTTACTAATGCATAAAGAGAAATGCTAAGGGCACTCTCTCAAAGTGGGACCCTCCATTACTATCTTTTACCTCACAGTTTAACGTCAATTCATGTACCAACATTATAAAACATTGTGCAAAAAACATGACGTGGCAAAGAGTCTCCTTAGCATTTCTCATACATAAATTTCACTATTAAAATCAAGCATTAATAAACAAGTGCATTTAATAGTTACTAGATTTTACGTATAAATCTATTTAATATATGTGTATGTTTAAGAATTATTGTCATTCAGGTAGGCTGGTTTTAATCAATTTAGTAATACTTCAACCCAACACAACTCACCTATTGAATAAGTAGTCGGATTTTTATCCAAAATTAAAGATTTTATGTTTAGAACACCACCCAACCCAACCCATATCAGGTGGGTTGGTCGATAGACCCACTAAAATGCCCACCCCTACCACACACGGACGCACATGATAATTCGCTCTTTTACATTTATTATTTACTTATAATTTTTATTCTTTCTGTGAAGCCTTGTGATCTTAAAGTGTGGCTTTGACTTTCTAATAGTAAATATAGATTAATGGGAAGATAATATTCAAATTTGTGACATATTCCATCATTAAAAAAAGAATATCACTAGATCACACCAGTTGATTATATGTTCTATGTTGGCCGAGGTCCCAACTTTGAATCCCCGTCTGAGGCATCAGTTCCATATGGCCCTCGCGACCAAATCGTGCATTTAACCTCAACAAAATTTGGACTGGAGCGAAAAAAACCCATGCATAAACAATACTATTTGATAACAACGATAAGGGATGGTGGGGAATTAAATTAGCAACTTTGAAATGCAGTGATAAACACTTTTTAACTAATTGAGTTACAAATTCATTTTTCAATTAATCAAAGATTCAAATATATAACTTGGAGCTTGGTTTTGTTCAAAAAGATATTAATATTGTGTTTAGGCCGTCCAATTTTACACCATCAGTCCTGTGCAATCAAAATTTTGAATGAAGAGTTTATAGGTGTTTAGAACTAATTATTGCACCGTCGGTCCATGTATATTTTAGACCGTTTGATGAACGAAATTGGTCGTATTCTATTTGATCAATAAAAACTTTATAATAAACCATTTAGATTTAGTAGTTAAGATAATGGTAACAACGTTCATTTTGATTTATCATGTTTAGTCATGTTCATCTCTGATTCACGTGCCAATGATAAAAGATTACCACCACCTATTTTTGGTTTATCTTGTGGCAGGATGTATGGCATTTGTGATGTGATTTGGTCACCATTATCATTTGGCTACATCATCCATTTGGTTTACCATTATCCATTTGGGATTTTATTCGTATTATCCACTGACCATAAAAGATGATTTGGTCACCATTATTACTTGATGGCAGATGATTTTTTTATCATCAAAAGGTATTTGGTGTTCACGGCCTAGACTCTACGACACGTCCAAATGCGTTGGTCCAACAAATATAAGACATTGTGCAACAAGGGAGGATTTTTAACTCAACACGTAAATTATCGCTCTAAGCAAACTCTCTCAACTCTTTGGAGAAAATACTATCTGCTCCACTAACAAGTTAGCGCAAAATCAGTTTGGTTAAACAGGTTTGGAGTTGGCAGCCGACGGACGATTACAATTTAGTTAAACAGAATTTTCCAGAGATAATCGGTGAAGGTGACAGTTTGGTTAAACATCACTGGAGTCATAGAATCAGCTCGGCCTAGGAGTCTTGACAATTTGGTTATACAACAAGTTCTCCTTTTTCGATTGGTTATTTATCCCAAGTCCGTCGGCGAAGAGTCTTTGATTCTCTTGCCGAACAAGATCACTTCATTAGCTTTCTCTGCAAGTGGAGTGCTCTATGGTCAAATATTCCCAAGTGACGTTCAGAGTTCAACGTATCCCAGTTCAGCAAACCTATATTTGAATCAGGTGCTTACACAGAGAAAGTGTCACTAGTTTTACATTAGCTTTGAGTGGTGGCTAGAAAGTGACCCTAAAACAAGGGTGGCATCTTCATGGGAAACTTTAGTTAGGTATGAGTGATGGGTTACTTGGTTGCTGGGTCCCTAAAAGTGGGTTAACAATCTTAGCCAGTACCATAAAGCTAAGTGGAAGGCCAGCTTGTTAAACAAAAAGGCCACTTGGGAGATACTCCAAACCAAAGCAGATTTTGTAGTGGAGAGTAAGCATGCAATATTCCACCATCTAATGCAAATCCTAGATGATCAGCCTTGTCATCATCTGTTGAGTATTTATGCAGTCTGTTTCTAATCGCTATCAAATATCAATCAAAGTTTTAGAGTGGGAGACAAGAGTTGCAAAATCATAGTGGCACGCATGATAAGAATGGAAGGGGATTCCGAGAATATTTAGTTCAATCCTAGACACCAAATGAGTGTTTCAAGTACAAATATCCTACTAAGTCTCAAGTATTCAGACGGATTCAGTGTTCTTCACTCAGATTTTCTCGAATTGGAAAACTGAAAACTGAATGGTTACAAGAACATGCTGCTAGTGGAAATGAACAAATTAAAGCTGT